GCTGCTGATTACGAAAAACTACTTTTTAGCCTTAGCAAATGCTTCCTTCCGGTCGAAAAATACGAAATACTCGAAAAATGTCGTCTTTCGAGAAAAACACATTCTTTCTCAAAATGTGTAAAATTTTCCACTCTATTTCATTTTTTGGCTTCTGAAAATAATTTTTCCAGATTCACCATCAAAAACTGAGTATAAAAATGTTGTTAAAACGACTGCAGACCCAAAACTCTATTGGTGGCGGCGCTTCGAATCGCGTCGAGTCCACTTGGTATAGGTCCATTTTGTAAACCTATCTAGTTTCTCCACGTAAGTGATGAAGCCAAATATTTTATCTCATTCGACTCGTCATACCCCTAGCCAAAAACTAATGCATCGCTTTTTTTTTTCTTTTCTTTCCTGTGTTGAGAAAAATCGTTTTTACTGATACCATATCGATTTTAGGCGGTATTGAACGGCTTTCGATTTTAAATAAGACTTTTACTCACAAACAAAGTACAAATTCAGAATCAGCACAAAAAACTGAGTTAAATCAAGTATCTTTCAAGTTAATTTGATAACTTTCATTTTTTTCTCATTTTTTCAGGTGTCGTCGTAGAACCGAAATTATTGTATACGGGTCAAAAAATGAAAGTTATCAAATTAACTTGAAAGATACTTGATTTAACTCACGAGGGAACTATCCCAAGTGTTAATCACCGATCGGGTTCATATTTTGTCCATAAGTAGAACTTGATAAGACTAGAAGAACTCTAGAAGGGTTCGTCCCCATACGTTGTCCTTCTTGAGTTATGGTCGTTTTTACTGAATTTTCGGCCTATGGCAAAGCATATATAAAAACATGGAATTACAGAATTTTGACCTGAAATTTTGCCTACAGATAGATCTCATAGTCATTCGATAGTTCTAAAAATTTCAGCCCAAAAGAACGTGCTGTTCTCGAGATATTGGACATACAAAAGATGATCATGTGTTATAACAAAAGTTCAGAAAATTGACGATCTTCAACACTCGATATTCCACGAATAGTACATTCCTTTGGGCTGAAATTTTTAGAACTATCGAATGACTATGAGATCTATCTATAGGCAAAATTTCAGATCAAAATTCTGTAATTCCATGTTTTTATATATACCTTGCCATAGGCCGAAAATTCAGTAAAACGGTCATAATTGAAGAAAGACAACATATGGGGACGAACTATTTTAGAGTTCTTCTAGTCTCATCGAGTTCTACTTATGGACAAAATATGAACCCGATCGGTGATTAACACTTAGGATAGCTCCCTCGTTAGTTGAGCAAGCATATCCAAATCGAGACCGTACACGAGTAAAATCTAGAAACAAAATTGAACAAATGATGGGGTGTGAATGTGGGTGTTGCTCGGTGCAAAGACAAATAAATCCACACCCATACCCACACGCATATCTACATCCACACATCCACACCCAAAAAAAATCGAATGATGACCAACCAGAACAATCCAAGATATCAAGAGAAAACCCGTTTTGAGCAATTTCTAGCATTTAGCAATATAAAATTGTGAACCATTCTGAAATAACGCCATTTCATCTTTCAATGAGAAATACGCCAAATGTGAAGAGTATCCATGTAAAAGAAAAAAAGATGAGAAAAATCGGATTTTATCCATCTTTTTTTTACATGGGTAACTGTTATTCGATTTTAATCTATTCTTACTTCTTAATCAATAATAAGTTATTCTTATTTGTTATTTGCTTTTAATCATTCATATCTAAGATAAGCGTTTTTCTCGAGATTCGAACACAAAACCCTTATTTTTTCATGAGTTTTTGGATTTGTCATGTTTAAAAACCATATAGTTGCCACTAAGCTAATCTTCGATAGGTATAATAGAATTGAAACTCCTGTATCAATTGTTTAAAATGGAAGTGATGCAATTACAATAGAAATTTATTAAAATCGATTAAATTTGGACAATACAATTTAGTCCAATTAATATCCCAATAAATAAGGTTAGGTTTGATTATCTTCAATTCAAATCTTTCAATTTCAACCGTTATGATTTTGGTCACTTAGTTTATTAAGTATATGTCACAAATAAATAATGGAGTGTAACCAGCAAGTTTTTGTTTTTGACTACTGGATAAAACTCACGACTTTGAAGATCTGTCACACTAAATCAGATTAAAATCAATTTGAATTATATTGTTGAGATATATTGAACCCTCATTTTTTAGTGTGGAGAAATTTTTTTATGTCAATTTAATCTTCTTCTTCTAACTAATTTTATTCGAAAAAAAAATTTCAATACACTTTCACCGATATGAAGAAAATCTCTTTCAATCAGTTTTTTAAATTCTATATGGGAAAATCGATTTTTATATATTTATTTTATAGCAAGAAATCAAAATTTTACACATGATATGGGATCGGTTCATTTTAAGATGGAGCTCAATGATTCTTGTAAGAAGTTTAATGGTTTCAGGAGAAGACTGATTCATCTTCAAACACCTTATCGATTCGATGAAACGTCTTGATTATTATTATCGACTGAGTTCAAATGCAAAACTATTTCGTCATTGTACCATAGAATATTGTTTTATTTAAACTCATTCTACAATAATAGTAACTCATAGTTCGACTAATAAAACTCATGGGTGTCGAAACAGACAAGAAGTAGATGATATAATCTACATAATTTATATCCATATGTTTTTTTTATATCATGAGTATAAAACTTTGAAGAAATTGAGGTGAAATGATCAACGAGACAAGATGAAATCATATTTGATGTAGCTGTAGGATCAGAAGTAGACATGAGAATAAGAAATACAAATATAAGTTTTCGTTAGTCGCTTGATTTATTTTTTTCTTCGATCATGTTCATTCGAATGTGAATCTATACGAGAAGAAGAACGCTATCATGTGTATGTAGAGATACCTCCATACAATACCGTACAATGAGTATTTGAGTCTGATCTATTGCAATAAACACAAATTGTCTATGCAGAATGTATGAAACAATAAAAATTTATAATTAGAAATGAAATACATAATTGAACAGTTCATAAAAAAGCTGCACCTGATATATTTCTTTCAACATTTTTCGTTTTATCTTTTCTCACACTTTCTTCAGTTCTTCAGTTCTTGTTCACTAAATGAAATATCTTACTGATGAGTAATTTTTTTCAAAAATTCCACATAGGCAATGAGACCAAAAGTAGTCTTAAGATGAACGATTTGATACAGGTATGGCAAATATTAATGTTTACAACACACAATACAAATCTGTTTAGAATTAACCTTTGAACTCTTGTTGACAAGTGATCTTCGTGATGCTGAAAGGGAAGAGGTAGGCAAAACAAAACAGATGATGACAGGAGATTGATGAATATTTCTTTGCAGACTTGTTTTCTTTTTTGCCTCGACACCATCATCTGATCTCGAAGCCATTGATTTTCTTTCTTCTTCACCGACTAGAAATCAAATTCATGTGATGTTTGACTCTGAAGGTTAAGGTCAGGCAACGATGTCCGGGTAATAGAGATTGAGATAAATGTCGCTCTATGCTAATAAAAGAATCCTAAAAAACAAAATAAAACATTTTTCCTCTTCGAAAGTTCTAGACGGATCTTTCTTCCACCATTCTTCCTCGCATATATATATATGCCAGTCAGTTCTCCCTGTAAATATTTATGTTCTTGAGAAGAGAACGACAACAAGACCAATGTAATGTAAATGACATACTCACACAGGCAATATTAGCGAGTACTTTGCCTTATTGTGAAAATTCAAACAATGAAAAAAATTGCAAGAGACCGACTCTGACAAAGTCACTCATTTTTTTTTACATTCTATCCTTCTGATACGTATGCATGGACATCTTTACATCACATCAAGTCACCCTATGTAGATCATTTATCTTTTTCTAAATGTGTATCATCACCACAGCATATCTTCTTATCTCGTTTATGGTTACTTTTACAAAAAAGATTTCAAACGATGACTCGACCCTTTAAATGACGTTTCCCATCATGTTTTAGAGTTCACAACTGCTACATACACATTTTCTTTATTTTTGGGATATGTCATCTCGATCACTGGCGACACACAATCAATGTAGATTGGAGATAATACTTTCTCTATGCACGTGAGCGGGATCAACAATTAAAACAATACAAACCATCAAATGATGATAATATCAATGCTTGGTTTTTATTGGCCAAGATAAATGCGCATGAGCTTCACTACCGATCCATTTATATCAATATTTCCTCTCACTGGTTTGTCATAAATACTGAATATCAAGTATTCATTGAAGTCATTCAAGTGTGACTTAAAGTACATAAGTAAATTTTAGGCTATTTTTAAAGGTTCATCTTTCTTTAGAATAGACAAGCGTAATCGTTAACTAATCTCGCCCACAAAAAAAATCAATCGTTCTCAAGCATCTGTCTTAGCTAAAACTAGTTAGGTTACAAAATGCTCTAACTAATTGATGAAGAGAGTAATAAGCAGGTGAAAAATTCATCGAACAGCTGGCTTTTATAGAACTGTGTTCTTGGATCAATGAATAACAGCAAAAATTGAAGCAATAGAAAAAGAAACACTGCGCAACTTTTTTATGGAAATTAGTAAAAGACTGAATTTTTGTATTTCCGTCAAATGTGATACGTTTGAACAATATCTATAAAGTTTGATCATATCAATGAAAACTTGGCAGAGATATTCACCATTTGAAAAAAAAATAATCAATTAAATCTAATGATATAGAGTAGAAGAGCGAAAATATTTTCTCCAAGCGACTTTTGGGACACACTGTATATATTGCCAAGTGTTTTCACTGTGTATTTTTCAGTACGATTAAGCTGTTCAGTTGTCCTTTGCTCGCCTGGCTAACTTCTTTATCATTTTTTGATGTAGACATCTACGAAAACAATAGTTTATAAATAATAATTTAATTGATGATAATTTTTTTGTTAGCAAAACTAATAAAGCAATAAGATGAAAAAACAAAAAGATTAATTCAATTGTAAAAAATGCATAAAATCTTTTCTATTTTCATCAGTTGATCGTGTTGGTCGACCTAAATTATTTCTATGACCCGTTTGAATTCGAAGTTCAAGTAAAATTGGCCCATCACTATTAATTGCACGAATTTTTTCCATTGCTTCATTTATTTCAGATTGATTTGTGGCTATTATTACATGTTTATAACCACAACCTTGAGCTATATGACAAAATGAAAATTTCTCATGATTACCAGCAACTGTTGGTTGACCACCAACACTATCATGGGCACCATTATTAAATACAATATGTTTAAAATTTGATGGTGTAGCTGCAGCAATATTTGCTAAAATACCCATATGCATTAGAACAGCTCCATCACCATCCAAACAATATACCTTTAAATATTTATTTCAATTTTTAAATTAAGAAAAATAATAAAAATAGCTTACAGTTCGATTTGGTTTTTGAATAGCAATACCTAATGCAATTGATGATGCATAACCCATTCCACCAACAGTTAAAAAATCTCGTTCATGTCCATCATGACGTTTTGTTCGAAGTTCAAATAATTCTCTACTAAGCATTCCTGTTGTACTAACAACAATATCTCGCTGTCGGAAATGATTCATAACACATTCTAATGCTTGTTCACGTGTTAAAGATAATCTAAAAATTGAATAAACATTCTATCATTCTTTTATATTCATTGAACAGACTTATATTAAATTTTACCTAATTTCTACATCTACATCTATTTTAGGTTATGTATATGGTAAAAATGTTTCTCGTTTAACAAGTAATGCATGAGGACCTTTTGCTGTTTTCATATAATGTTTAGCTGTTTCAAGTGCTTGACCAGCACTATCGTGATTATTCGGTAATGATTGAAAAGTAATATCGAGTGCAGCTAAAAAAATACATATTGTATTTAAAGTTTTAATAAACAATATTTGCGCACCAAGCATACTAGGTGTTGTAGGTCCCTGAACACGATGTTGTGGTTCATCTGGTTTACCTGGTTCACCACGCCAACCTATTTGTCTTTTAACCAACGGGGAAAACGGCAGACTTGAAGTAGAAAAGTACATCAAACTATTTTACTTGAAGTAAGCTTAAAGTAGCTCAAAGTAGCTTGAAGTCACTGCAAGTAACTTCAAGTAAATTTGAAGTTGAAAAGTACTTCAAAGGACTCTACTTGAAGTAAGCTTAAAGTAGCGCAAAGTAGCCCAAAGTACTTGAAGTACAAAAGTCTGTCGTTTCCGCCTTGATTTAGATTCCAGAACATTATTTAAATTCTGTTTGATAAAATCATTTGCCATAGAAAATTATGTTTATATAAAATCTTATTTTAGAAATAAATTCAGCTTACAATAATGACTAATACGAAAATTTTGGCATGAATGTCGGGCTTGATTATAAGCTTGCTCAATGTGTTAGAAAATTGATTCTCTTTTCGTCAAATAGAGCAAAGTCTGAAAATTAAAAATGCATATTTCAAAAAAAAAATTGTGAGTTGATTAATGGTTCAAATTGTCCTTTTTCAAAAGGCACCAAAAATGCCTTGTAACCAATCAAAAATTAATGTTTTCTCTGCGATTTTAGATTTATGAGCATTTTCAAAAGGTATTAAATATTACTATGCTCTACAGGCAAGAAACTATACTGAAAAAGATTTTGAGTCGAAACGAATATTATCAGTGTTAGGAAGTGTCTGTTCACACACTCCTGGTTCACCTTTATTCCTTCCTACTAAAACTAACTATAACTAACAACAACTAAAAGAAAACAAACAGTCCGTGTTTTTCTAAATACACGGAGGACAATGGACATATTATAAGAGATAGAGAAAAAGAAAAGAAAAGAAGAGGTAGTGGTAAGAGATAGCGCCACTACCTAACAATCAGTCTAAGATATGAGATTCTTTCACTTTAGCGAAAACTAGCGTCATACGACTTTTATGACAGTTTTATTTCGTCAAGAATTTTATATAAAAAAAATTTTGACCGTAAAATTTGAATACAGTGTTGTCGAAGAGCTTGAAAAACTGTATCATTTGTATGGCTTAAACTTGATTTCTTTTTAAAAATGAGAGTCTCGAGCTTTTCCCGAAAAGGCAAGCTTCAGAAACACGTGTAACTAACCAAAACAAAGTCGCTGCAGCGTTACCGTGGTGATGACAGGCCTTGAATTCGTAGTTTTTCACGAGCTGTGCTCATGACGAATCAAGCTTCAAAGTTTGAACTCAATTGATTAATATAAGTGAGAAATATGTTAATCACAAAAATCAAATTGTAGCAAAAAGGCGCAAAAATTATAAGACATTTTTGGTACCTTTTGAAAACTGGAACTTTCGACTGCTAACCAACTCACAAGTTGTTTTTTGAAGTATACATTTTTAATCTTCAGGCTTTACTCTATTTGACGAAAGAGAATCAGTTTTCTAACACATTGAGCAAGCTTATAATCAGGCTCAACATTTGTGCTAAAACTTTTACATCAGTCATTAGTATTTATTTCTTTTAATAAATTCTAACATTTAGATTTTTTTTTTCAAATAGTTTATTTCATCTACTTAAGTCAGTTCAATAATAGTGGCGAGGATATCGTAATTCCTTATAGAAAGCTCTAAGAGACTTTTTTTTCTATATAGTCTGATAGAGAAAAGAAAGCTGTATTTTTCTATGCTATTTGATCATATTCAAACTACTACCATAATAATAAACAAGGGATAACATTCGTTTTGCTAGGATATGTACTGGTTGTATTAGATTGTAACGAATGAGTAGATTAGACAGTTGTGCTTAGTATTTCAATTTTTAATTAATTTATACGATGTATTAAAAAACAAAATATATCACAAGATGCAATGTGAAAAGCTTCACAATTTACATAAGATTGCTAATTTTATAATTGCACTTTTTGTTTTCAAGATGGACAAAACTCTATATGACCAATTTTCGATGCTGCAAATATGATCATTTACTAGTACAAGACAAATTTCTTTTCTTATTCCTTCAATTAATGAGTCATAACGAACACTATAACTGATGGCTGAATTTATACTAATTAAAGCGTGTTCCAATTAGATTTCCGTTCATTCTTATATTACTAGTTAGGACCTATACCAGTTACGTAATAACAAATCACAACTGTATAAGTACTGGTAGTTGAGGAAAAGATATGAAATTCGAACATCTTCGAAAATTGGTCGCATAGGGTTTTGTCCATCTTGAAAACAAAAAGTGCAATTATAAAATTAGCAATCTTATGTGAATTGTGAAGCTTTTCACATTGCATCTTGTGATATATTTTGTTTTTTAATACATCGTATAAATTAATTAAAAATTGAAATACTAAGCACAACTGTCTAATCTACTCATTCGTTACAATCTAATACAATCAGCACATATCCTAACAAAACGAATATTATCCCTTGTTTATTATTATGGTAGTAGTTTGAATATGATCAAATAGCATATAAAAGTACAGCTTTCTTTTCTCTATCAGACTATATAGAAAAAAAAAGTCTCTTAGAGCTTTCTATAAGGAATTACGATATCCTCGCCACTATTATTGGACTGACTTAAGTAATTGAACAGAACCATAAAGAAAATAAAGATTAACAATTAATGTTTACAATGATATAACTAAATACAAATCAATTAATATATGTTCATGATGAATTTGAATCAAATTGTTTCATCCCATCGAGTTGATTTGTTTCTAAACGATAAGAATTGAAAATTAAAATTAAAATCAAAGAAGATTGTTTGGAAAAAGAACAGTATAAATCAGTGTTTCTATATTTTTTTATACTTATTTTTAAAAGTTGAATCATACCCATTAGTAAGACAAAAAAAAAAGGATTTACAATTGGGAGAAATTTTAAAAATGTAAAGAAAATCAATTGAATTCATTCTCCATGATTAAACAATCAATTGTAGTTATCGAATTTCAAATGTTTTCTTAATAAGATAGAAAAAATTATGTGAAGAATATTATTATTACAAGTTCTTTCGATGATCAATGAAAACAAAAAAAAACAAAAGACAATCGAAGCGATAATAAATGAAACATTTTGCACTGTTTCATTTATTACAATTCTGTCAAATAAATCATATCTGTGAAACAGTAAAAACATTATAACTAATCTGTATTGTTTTATTTTCTCATTAAATATTAATATTTCAGCAAGTGTACTTTAAGTTAAATAAAAGTTTTAAGAACGCTACTGACTATTTCATAAACAAATTAATATAAAAAAGTTTGCAGCATAGAATATGAATAGAATGTATTATCTATAATATAATGCTGTTTTGGCTTTTTTTAAATAAAATTATATTTCAATTAAGTAAGCGTGTCGCGAGGCGGAAAATATTGAGCAGAAGGATATTTACAATTTTTTCGAAAATTTTTAGAAATTCTTAAAATTTTTTAAAATTCTTAAAAAATTTTTCTAAATTATCGAGTAAAAAAAAAACAAAATTTCGGAAGATTGAGAAGTCATTCCCTTCCACGATTCCTTGCCTACGACACCTCTACAATTAAAAATAATTTTTCAAAAAAAGAGTTATTAATTCAATTAGGATGTTACGAAAATTTCAACACTTTCAGAATAGATCCAAACAATAATTCAGAACAAACATATAACATCATGGAAATTTAACGCTTTATCATATCAGAAAATGATAATGTAGACAAAGAGTTTTCATCAAAGAACGACATAAAACATGTCAATGATGTGATCATAGATCTAATTGTTCAATGTCTTACGACGAACTTTAACATGGAAATATTGAATTAATACATGACAAGTTATCAACAATGATATTGTAGCTGATAGTTCTCTATAGAGTACAGTCTTGAAGTTCCAAATTTTTTGAAACCAAAAACTGAACCGAATTCAAAGTAATTCAGTGTCTCAAATATGGCATTACAACTGAAACTATGAAATAAAAAAAAAGGATGAAACTATAATCGTTGCAACCACAAAAACTGTTTTTTGATGATAACTAAAGTCATCCATATTTTGCCATTCTTAGGTGACTCTTTCAGAAAGAAATATTTCATTCATTTATGGCATACAATGGTAATTGTAAATGTAAAAATAAAGAAAAATAATAACTTACGAGGTAGGCACTTCAACTGTTTAGAAACTTTCGACTTCATCTTTTTGGCTATAACTAAGTTTCAGTGAAGCTAAGAAGTCTACAAAAGTTTCCGTGTCCATTTCTCTTATCAACTCAGATATCACTAAATGTATATTAAGAAAAAACCTTTTGTATCACTCTATTGAAAAACCTGTTTCTCTGTAAGTCTAAATATTTTCTATATTATACGTAACTTTTCGAGGAATTCAATGACGAGCACTAATATATTGAAATTTTAAACAAATATAAATCTGAATTATGAAGTACTGATAATTTACTAGTAAATTCTATATAATTTTAAGTATTTTTTTATGTATTAGAAATATAATATTGCCGAAAGTTGTTTCTCTTTTGATTCGTCTTTATGTAAAGATTAGAACAAAACAACTTTTTCTTTTCTGTTCTATCCTGTCTTGGAATCGACCATCGTCATTATGTACAGCAAGACAGGAGAGGACACAGGATATTCGTGATATAAGTAAGTGTTCTGTTTTCATTACTTGTACACCGATTATCACTATTATCAAATGAACTTCTACTTTTTTTTCTACACATGTGACCCCAATACAATAATTACATTAGTTTTTCTTATTATTTTTCATATATAAAATGAAGTGTCTAATGTTTATTACTAGCAAGTCTTCAGTATTTCATAATTCAATTTAATCAATACATAAAATTTAGATATATCAATTTCTTGAATAAATGTTTAATATTCAAAATATTTTATGTTACAGAAAAATAGTCTTTTCAAAAACAATTGATAAAAAATCTCTGTTTTGATATAAATTCTTCTTAACAATAGAAAATTTCAGATCTTGTATTATATGTAAACATACAAATTTTCTAGAGATATTTACTATTATGTCTCACTCGTTGACTTTTTAATTAAAAAAGTTTTTCAGAAAACTAAACCGATTTTGAATTTTTCGAGAAGA